GAACCACATTACACACGCGACAAACACTATCTGACAGCTGCTTCCTTTTATAAGTTATCACACCTCTCTGTTGGTATGATTACAATGATGTACAAACTAATAATAACGCATTTTATTATGGCCCGACCTTTTCTAAGCTCTCACAAGGCACCTTCGAGTATATTAAAACACAAAGCCAACAAAGAAGCGTCAACATAAATTCAGACTTAAAAATAAAGACTTAAAAAACAACAATCGAGTTTAGAGGAATTATGATATACGCCAGCTTTAAAATGTGGATTTTCAGGCAGGATTGAAGTTGAGAGTGCAGATCCACTATTGCCGGATGCCTTGTGGGGAGGAGAACTGGAAATGTATTAACCACAGAACACACACTTGCAAACTTGCGTGTTAGCTTAGTTTATAGGCCGAGGCTGTGGCTCAGTGGAATGTGCTTGCTGAATTTAGTGCGCTGAACTTTGAATCACAGGATAGTAAGTTCGAGTCCCACTGCAGTCAGCATGTTGTTGTGTCCCTGGGCAAGACACTTTACCTCAAATTGCAGTCGTAGTCTGGTCAAAAGTGGTCTTCAATGGCATTAAAACGATAAAAACGCTGCTGAAGTTAATCCATAGGTCAATCCAATGTGTCTGTGTCCCTTTGAAATGATTTCTGATAGTCCATAAGCAATAAACCTGCTTTTCCGTTTCCAGATGTCAGAGCTAGAGATAGCTTCACTCTGATGCAAAACTTCGTGCGCGAAGCCCCCACCTTTTTGTTTTACCATGTGTGTGAGTGGGGAGATTACCCTTCGATTCTATTGGCTCTAACGGTCAGAAAGAGATGTCAATCACCAAAATCGACCAATGGGTTCCAGAGAAACGGTAAAACCCCCATTTCCACCCAAATCACCTCAGAGGCGGAGTTCTTTTTGCTAAACCTCTCTAAAAAGGTCAAATGTCACTTGTTTTGCATCAATCTTGATACAGGGTACTTATTATATGTTGTACTTTGGATTCCTAAAGCTTTTAGTCTACCTTACCATCATCCAAGGGTAGTTTTCAAGTAAAATATAATTTTTGGATGGACACTATAATTTACAGTTTTTTACTATGTTCAATCTGAATTTTCTCTAAAATAAAAAACATCTATATTGATTCTGACTTTTCTACATCCAACTCACAGGTTTATCATTACTTTGAGAAAAAAGATTATGGTAACACTTTATTTTGA